TTCTAAAGTAATTATAATAATAAAATATTTTTACCAATTATTGTTAGACAAAGTTAGTTATCCGTAAAATAATCTTAATTTCATTAAAATATTCAAAAAATATTTGTAGTCTTCACAAAACACAAAAATCTTGCTATTTATTCATTATTTATAACAAAAATCTCAAACAACAAAAACCAAAATTACAAAAATATTTTTAGCTTTTCAACAAAACTGAGACATCATTACGAGTGTAATTAATTTCACACAAATATTTAATTAAAAATAGTCCTTAACCTTACGATTCTGTATCATTTTTAATAATATGTTTATAACAGATGCAATGGTTGGTCACATTTCTGGGTGTAGTACTGCTTGGTGTGGACATCGGCCTCATTGTCGGCGTTATATTTTCCATAATATTAGTACTCTTAAGGTTTACGATGTAAGTCATGTTTGCCTATCAGTCAGTATTTTCTTATTATATTAATACATGTTTTTCTACTCAACTAAACAATACAGTTATTTTTACAATCAAACGTATAGTATATTTCGTTTAGTACTGTATAAAGTAGTATACGATTATTGTTTACACACTTGTGTCTAATAATTTTCTCTCTCTCTCTCTCTCTCTCTCTCTCTCTCAAGCATTCATTTACGAATTCACTGTATGTTTGCAGCAATGAATCAATAATTTTTCATTTTAATCAAAATGAGACAAATGGATGTTTATGTGTATGAATGGTGAGGCAAAAGACTACTCACGGCTTCTAATTTAGATATTTTCCACGAATTGATTAAATCTCCAAATTGTAAAAACATTGATTTCAATGCGACTAAAATAATGCACGAAAGGGTGGCCTAAAAATAGGGACAAAACAATAGTAAGTTTATACATAATACGGTTAGTGATGTAAATACAAATTAGACAAACTTTTGAGATTGTAATATAGATATCTATAAATAGATATCTTATTACATATTTAAATATAAAATGAACAAAAATTTGTAAATATAGCATACTAATACGTAAAGCATTATTATGTAATATTATTAATCTACTGGACAATATTAAATAATATTTACTATTTAATTGTATTGACAAAGATAACCTATATTTTGCATTCAATGTAATCAGATTTCTTATTTAATTAATTACATTGACTTGAAAAAAGCAATTATTGGTGACAACGCTCTTACTTTTGGCAAATGATAGAGAAGTGGTCCCAAAAAGAGGAGGAAGACCAACATGAAGGCACTGGACACAAGTCCGGCCACTTGTGTGCGACCGCCGGTCTTCTCCTGGACTGAACTCCGCGACAAAGAGGCCGACGAGGGATAGCAGGCGAAGAAGGACGAGAAGACATTGGCGGTCCCGAGGGCTATGAGCTCCTGATTGGCGTCGATCTTGTATTTGTGTTTTTTGGCAAAAATCTTGGCCAACGATAGCGAGACGGCGAACGCCACGATCGCTATCACCAGTGAATCCATTATTATCGACTCCCGAGGGCTATGAGCTCCTGATTGGCGTCGATCTTGTATTTGTGTTTTTTGGCAAAAATCTTGGCCAACGATAGCGAGACGGCGAACGCCACGATCGCTATCACCAGTGAATCCATTATTATCGACGATAACAGATCAAGTCGTGGCAGCTTTGGCGCCGGTAGCCTATAGTTGACAGTACATGGCAGTCAAAATGAACTGTATAATTATGTTAGATAAGAGTGTGAGGGGTGGGTAGGGATAACACTGGTATGTTATGCGAGTGAGATATTTGTGTCTTATGTATAGTGAGTGATGTATTGTCTGGATGTATGTATCTGGGAGTCTGTATGTCTTGGGATATACTGTCTATCTTTGAAGCTTTAGTTTTATAATTCAATTGAATACTTGACACAAATTGTAGTCAATATCTCCACTATTGTACGGCAACTGACTGTCATGTTGTGTTGGTAATCAAATACAGTATAATTTAATCAACAAATATTTGCTTATATTTATTGAATAGTGAATAGATGTGTTATTATGCTATTATAGCAAACATTAATATTACATAACATGTATATTGACTTTTTATTAAAGTGTAAATTGTTTTTCAAGTTGACAGCAGTTGTCAGCGAACTATACATTAATACTGTACTGTCGAGACTTACATGTTATATAATATCCATTAATGTTTCATTGAATCATTTCTTATTAAATTTATTTTATCAGAGAATTAAGTTTACTTTTAAATCCATTTCTACTCTAATGGTTATCGGAATTGAATCTTATTTTTTGAAAAAAATTATATTATTTTGTTTTTCAAAACAACAAAAGTCTTGAGTAAAGAATAAAATCTTTATAAATAAATAAAAGTCTTGTTTTTTATTTTGTTGCACAGAATATAACACAACTCACATAATATTGTCTCCCATTTTAAACGGATTTAAAATTCAATTTAATTTATAAAATATTGAATTTCTATTTTCAACTCTATTTTTAAGGCTTATTCTTATATTTGGATCTCATATTAATTTAATGATTTATGAAATTTTTCTAATATGATGCTGTAATTGACGATATAATCGTTTTAAATACAACTTTATTTAAATGCATACCCTTTTGGTATATTTCCCATAATACCCACTTGATATTTAGTGTGCAAATTCATAAGCCATGAGAATATAGTAAAACCGATCACCTATTGTGTGTGAAAAATGGTATAATGGTATGTGAACATTAAAAATAGTTGGCACCCTTTGATCACATTCAATATATTTTCAATCATTACTCACAAGCATTATATCGATGGGAAAGGGTATATTGGTTTTGAATTTTGCCTTCAATTTTGGTTCAATATATTCCTTCACAAACACTAACAGCGCGATACCGAAAGCTGACAGCCCTAGTGTGACCAGGTTTGTATGGACTAACTGTTCCGCTATACCGATCCAGTCCTATTTTATTGCAATTTATTTGTTAACCTTATAAATTATAAGTTGTAATTATATTTTATGTGAATCGGGAATGTCATACATTGACCATCTTGAATGGCAGCCATTTAACGTAGACCTTGTTTTTGGGCACATGTATGTCGAATAGGCTGTTGAGCTGAGATGTGGCCACTTGTATGGCACAGCCCGTCGAGAAGGCCGACACCAATGTGTCCGATAATATCACTGATAGTGAGCCCAGTTGTATGAATCCCATCGCAAACTTTAATCGTAATAAAAAATACAATTATATTATATTAATCTTAAAGATATATTTATGTAAATGTTTTATTCCTAACTAAATGTTTATAAATAAAGTGTTGTATTGTTTATGAAATTTAATTTTCAATACATTTATCAATCATTTCATTTGATTTCATTTACATAATTACTACAGAAGTTTTTGAGCGAAACAATCAAATAATGGCAAATACTGTATACATAAATCATTTATTCATTCATGTCATTCAATTGCGTCAATTGATTGTCAGTCTATAATATATACAGTACAGTGTCTAGGTTTTTCTATTGACTAATAATAATGATGTGATTATTAAGCAAAATATTCTGTGTTTTGTGGAGATTGTAATCACCATCGTTTTTGATGGACTGGTATGAACTGGCATTCAAATCATTAGTATAAATCATAATTGATTTTTTCTAATATAAATTAAACTAATAGTTTTAATCATAGAGTCGTTTGTCAGATAAACTAATAATACGATCGAAATGTTTGATAACAATTTGGTACAACAAAAATGAGATGTGACTTCAAACTAGTAATACATGTTATATAAAGGTTGTGCACATGGTTTGGCAGGATTTGCATTAATTTTGTGCATAATATAGTTCACCACTAAAATATACTTGTATTATATATTTTAATTAATTCTTAGCGAACAATACCTGGATTTAATATAATTATAATTGCATTTTTGGTACGAAAAACAAAAATTAATTCATTAACACATTCAGCGATTTTGTTTGTTTTAGACAAATGTTGTGTTTTTGAGTTTTCTATTAAACAAGATTTAAGCTTTATACTTTATACAAGATTTATACTTTAATTTATTATATTACTGTTTAACGGAATCTATATAATAATAATATATACGCGTATGTGTTTTATAAATCATATTCAGTAATAATTAATTTATTAATAATTAAAATGAAGTAATAATTAAAAGCAAATTACATTAGGAGGTTTAGCGCTAATAAATGGCATAACTTTTTAAAAATATTCATTATTCAAGGAATGTTTGATAGATTTAATGCCCGAAAAAACATTCAATAATTTTTATATTAAGAAAAATCATTAGAAAAGAGGTTTTCCTTAAATTCTTTACAGACATGTGTTTTTCGAGTTCTTAACTAAATTATAGCACATAGACAAACATCCTGGACATGTGTGTAGGGGTTGAGACATGTTTTATGGCAGATGTGGATTTTTCTATTACTATTAACCTTGGTTAGATTAGATCTTCAAGAGACAGCCTTCTTATTATGTATAATAATTAAATGTCAATAAATAGTAGACTTTTTATTAATTTTCGTATACCTTAAGCGTATTTAATCGTAGATTATTTGTGTATTTTTACAAATAATGTAATAAATTATTAATGATATTTTTGTGTAATAATTTATTTTATATTTTATGCCAATTAGAAACTATGCTCTATAAATAATAAAACAAGGATCGACAAATAATTAGAGGATTAGACATAAATTCTAGTTATTTGAAATTATTAATTAATTATTACATATAATATTGATAATTATGCAACATACAATACAGTAGCTCAATAATGGAAAGTTTTTATTTTCATTTAATGTCCCATCATTTTGCTTATTTTCGAAACATCTGGTGATTGTATCATAATTGTTGCAAATAATCACTTATGAGAACTTTAATTTATTAGTACATTGCATATTTATGTAATGTACTCAATATTAGTATAATTAATAAATTATATTATAATTTTCTATTTACTCTATTATTTAAGAAACTTGTGACATTGACTTTCATAATCACTTATTACAGAATTACTTTTGTTTATTACAATTACAAAACTAGTTTTATTGGGAATTATGGGGTTTAAATAAAAATACCTAAAGCCTAAACACACAATTATTACATGAAATAATCCGCTACTTCACTAAAACATCACATGAAAGCCTGTCCACCAATTTGATGACATTTAATGACAACATCTTAAGTCTACACTTTGTTAGCTCTGCCATCAGTTTAACTAAAAACTGTTCTCAACTCAAAAAAATGGACAAAAAACAGTTTATAAAAATATAACAAACAATTGCAATGAAATTAGCGCTACTTTTCTATCTTTCATCAGATTATAAGTCCAAACACTCAAAAGAAATCTTTTTTCCTATAAATCCCGAGTTTTTCCCTTAATATTGTACTTATTATACCCAAAAAGTATTTGTTGTGTATTTTTCTATATGTAGTTTGAGTGTCAGATTATCATCTCCAGGACTTACTTGAAAAATGCCGGTAAGCATACAGAGACTGGTCAGCACTTCTAGTGTGGTATAGTCGACATCACCGGTTGGATCAGATGTACCATTGCTTATGTTTTTATGTGCATAATCGATGGGTAATGCATTGAGTTTTTGGGCCGCATTTGACGACATTATAGCAATTATAGCAAAAGTGCCTAAAAATACATGAGTTTTTAATTTGAAAAAGGGTTTACTTTTTTGGGATAGTGTTAACCATTTTTTTGGGAAACTTTTTGTTAACATGTTTAATGGGTTTCTCTTATCTGATATAAGAAATGTAGTAAATTATAGCAAAAAACACATTGACTTCAAACTAATCAGAGAAGAAGATTAATTAAATATATAAAATCAGTGCAAAGGAAAAATACAGTCCACTATAAGATCCCTTGCGTGAAATGAGTTCAAACACGTGTGGATGTGCTCTAACTCTTTGTATGAG